AAAAAAAAAAAAAAAAAAAAAAAAAAAAACAGAGTCTCACTTTGTCGCCCAGGCTGGAGTGGCAGTGCTGCGATCTCGGCTCACTGCAACCTCCGCCTCCAGGGTTCAGATTTTCCTGCCTCAGCCTCCCAAGCTGCTGGGATTACAGATGTGCACCACTATGCCCGGCTATTTTCTTTCTTTCTTTTTTTTTTAATTTTTTTTTTTTGTAAAAATAAAGGTGGGGTTTCACCATGATGGCCAGGCTGGTCTTGAACTCCTGACCTCAGGTGATCCACCCACCTCGGTCTCCCAAAGTGCTAGGATTACAGGCGTGAGCCACAGCACCCGGCCTATTTTCTTTTTGTATTTTTAGTAGAGACAGGGTTTCACCATGTTGGCCAGGCTGGTCTCGAACTCCTGACTTCAGGTGATCCACCTATCTCAGCCTCCCAAAGGGCTGGGATTACAGGCATGAGCCATTGTGCCTGTCTTCTGGACTTTTCATTTAATATTTTTGAACCATGGTTGACCATGGGTAACTGAAACATTGGAAAGCAAAACCACGATAAGGGGGAGCTATTACAGGTATTGAAAATCCAGGTAACAATCTGTGTGTGTGTGTGTGTGTGTGTGTGTGTGTGTGTGTGTGTGTGTGTGTCTATTACTTTGGTTATGGAAGGGATCTTAGAGAGTGTCTCCTTTACTCTCACATTTCTGATGAAACCAAGTCAGAAATAATAAAAAGACTCACTCAAGGTGATCTGTGACAGATCCTGGCCTGGTTACCCCAGGTACATGATTTGTAGTGGTATTGACTCAAAGGTTTAGACATTAACTTTTGTAGATCAAGAGTGTCCACATGTCCTTAGAAAATTATTTAGCATCTGTGCTTTAGGTCCTTAAGATGGGGCCAGAAATTGTTACCTCATTGCTGAGAGCATTCAGTGGCACACAGCAGGGGTTTAATAACTGCTGGCATTCCCCGACCTGATAAAAAAAGCTGTTTCTTACCCTAACCTCTTGCTGATATGTTTTGTTTTTCTCTGACCTCAGGTTTCTAGAAGCAGGGTGGAACAGAGGGCAGACACCTAGCCCAGCCTGGAGTTACTAAACAGTGGCAGCTGGTGAGAGAAGGGTGGCCAGGGCCCTGAACTCTGTGGCCCTGGCTTTGAAGGAAGGAAGGTTTTCTCAATTGTGGAAGAAAAGAATTTGGACAGCAGAACAAAAAAGGAAGACAGCCTCTTGGAGCAGATGCATTTGTCACAGGAAGCCCCATCAAACCCTGGGGCCTTTGTTGGACCTCTCCATCTGCCCAGTTCCCGGGAGGTAGATAGCTCCAAGAAGAGGTCCAGTCAGCCCTGGGTGCCAGGCCAGGACTGGATAAAGCTAGAAAGAGACACCACAGAAGAGGAGGTGTTTGAACCAATCGAACCTGTACAGAAGACGCTCCCATGGGTGGGCGAGGTAGCCGCCACCCTGCAGGAAGCCATGAAGAGAGATTGCTGGTGGGAGGCATGGGTGAAGAAGGTGAGGACACTAAGCTAGAGAGAGGTGGGGTCCAGGTCCTGGACTCCAGGAGCTCTTTCATGCATGCTCCTGCCTGCGGGTTAAATGAAATCTGATTGTTCCAGGCTGAACGACATCCAGAAAACGGAGCTGCAAGACGTTTTCTCCATCTCCCGCACCACCCTGGCATCCTTCATGGAGCACTTTCTGAAATTTGTTAGGGTGGCAGCATTTTCTCCTTTGCTTTGCTTTCCTATTTATATTCTGTATATCCCCCCCGCCCACATCTTTCTCCCTTTCTCTTCATCTTTCCTTTCCTTTCTATACTACACAGTTACTGGCCTTGTGTCTGTCTTTTCATATTTCTCTCTTCCTCCCATGGGTTTATCTTTCTCTTAGTTTTTAATTCTCTGAATTTTGAGAATGGATGTTAATCTTGTACACACACACATGCGTACACACACACGCACACATACATGTATATATTGATATAAACTTCTTGAGCCTCTCCTGTTCTTCCAGAAGCCAGTCACCTTTGAGGATGTGGCAGTGAATTTCACCCAGGAAGAGTGGGACTGCCTAGATGCCAGCCAGAGGGTCCTTTACCAGGATGTTATGTCGGAAACCTTTAAGAACCTAGCATCTGTGGGTAAGAGGCTGGGCTTCCCTCAGTAAGCCCGCTGTTCTTAAAGGCCCTGGAACATCTGTTTTCCCTGGACAGGTAGATCAGCTCACAACTAGTTTCACTGACCCCTGGTTCTGTGCCTTCCAGGTTTGAAAGATCTGAGTCACTAAGCTCAGTGGTAAAGAGAAGAAATGATAGCCTACATGAAGGCAAAGATAACACTTGTAACATGATGATAGTGTTCTCAGAATATGCACATTTTTTCATTCATCCAACCAACCAATATTTACTAAGTCACTCCTGAGAACCAGGTACCTTGCTAGCAGCTGGCCTTTTGAATGTCTCCTTTCTGCATCTACATGTCCCAGGTTATGGTTCTTAAATAAAGGCTACAAGAGGTAGCCTGTTGTCCCCATCAGATGTGAAGGGGCCACACCTAGGACCAACTCAAACTTTTTCTCATTCCCACACATCAGCCAGAATGTTTCTGCATAAGCCAGAGCTAATCACCAAGCTTGAGCAACAAGAGAAACAGTGGAGAGTGTTTCTCCATCTCCCAAACACGGAAGGCCTTTCAGGTAAGAATTGTCAAGCAGAGACGAAGGTAAAAAGGGCCCAGGATAAACCTGGAAAGGATGGAGAGCTGATCGAGAGAATGAATGCTCTATATGCTCTCATAGTGTACCTCTTTCCAGCCCAGTCAGACTTGGAGTTGAAAGAGAGCTTAAGATCATAGGCTCAAGTCCCTTGACTTCAAGTTGAAGATCTAAGTCTTTCAGTATTAGTAAATATCTTCAGTTTCTAGAGATTGAGAGATAACATGAAGGTTGCTTATGTCCATGACGCTGCTCCGACTTAAATGTTCTTTCCAAGAGAAAAGAGAAGGGGATAAGCTTCATGCTGGGTTGGAGTAAAGGAGGCTTGTCCTTGGGAGTAAATAGTTTAGAGAGACATCAAGCCAGGCTGACCACACTTCCTGGTTTGCCAGGACATCCTGGTTTATACTCTCGTCCCAGCTTGATTATTAATGAGACCTCTTTTACCTTCAAGTGGCCCAGTGTTCATGATGTATTATATGTGGGTATCTATGGAGTGTCTATGGGAGTTTGAGCAATATTGAAGATGAGATAAGATAGATTTCAAGAAGTGTTGTTGTAAGTTAAAATTTACATTTCTGACACTGTTGAAAGATTTTCCAGTTAAATTTTTATTTGCTTTTAATTTGAAAAGCCATTTTTTTTTCTTATTTCTAGCCTATAAGGCCCAAGGGTGAGGATGAATATGTTGGGTGGGAGAGCAAGGGCAGAGGCAAGAAGTGTCTTTCTTGGGCTGGATGGAGGAGCTGTGTGGGAGTTTTTGTTGTTATTGTTGTTGTTGTTGTTGTTGTTTTTTGTTGTTGTTGTTTTGAGATGGAGTTTTACTCTTGTTTTCCATGCTGGAGTACAATGGTGTGATCTCAGCTCACTGCAACCTCTGCCGGCTGGGTTCAAGTGATTCTACTGCCTCAGTCTCCCTAGTAGTTGGGATTACAGACGGATGACATGACACCCAGGACATTTTTGTATTTTTAGTAGAGATGGGGTTTCACCATATTGGTCAGGCTGGTTTCGAACGCCTGACCTCAGGTTATGCCCACCTCAGCCTCCCAAAATGCTGGGATTACATTCATGAGCCACTGCGCCCAGTCTGTGTTGGAGTTCTTAAAGTGAATTTTGTGTTATTCTTCATTCACTACAGAAGGCAGGAAGAAAGAGCTTCAAGAACAAGATCCCAGTCTGAGAGATGAGGGGACCAGTGAGGACAAGGTCTTCCTTGCATGCAGAGGGGCCCTCTCTGCCCCAGCTGGGTCTATGGACAGGACCCGGGTGCTTCAAGCATCACGGGGTGGGCCACCTTTTTTTTGCCACACCTGTGGCAAGTGTTTCAGTAGGCGCTCCTACCTCTATAGCCACCAGTTTGTTCACAATCCCAAGCGGACTAATAGCTGCAGCCAGTGTGGGAAGCTGTTTCGGAGTCCCAAGTCCCTCAGCTATCACAGACGCATGCATCTTGGGGAGAGGCCCTTCTGTTGCACGCTCTGTGACAAGACCTACTGTGATGCTTCCGGACTAAGTCGTCACCGCCGCGTCCATCTGGGTTATCGGCCCCATTCATGTTCCGTGTGTGGCAAGAGCTTCCGCGACCAGTCTGAGCTCAAACGCCACCAGAGGGTACACCAAAACCAGGAGCCAGTGGATGGAAACCAAGAGTGTACTTTGAGGACTCCAGGCACCCCTGCTGAATTCCAGACACCCATCGCCAGAAGCCAGAGGTCCATCCAGGGGCTTGTGGATGTGGACCATGCACCAGGGCCCAGGTCCCAGGAATCCACATTTAGAACTGAGGGCCCTATGGTCCAGAACCAGCCATCTATGCTGAAGAACCAAGCGCCTGTGCCCAGAACCCAGGCACCAATCACTGGAACCCCCTGTCAGGATGACAGATCCAGTTCTCATCCAGTGAAGCCCTCAAGACTCCATGTCTTCTCTTGCTCCCATTGTCCTTTGACTTTTAGCAAGAAGTCCTCTCTCCACAGCCACCAGAAGACCCACCTCACAGAGCCACCCAACTATTGCTTCCATTGTGGCAAGTCTTCCAGCTCATTATCCAAGCTGGTCAGACACCAGCAGCAGACCCACTGGAAGCAGAAGAGCTACCGTTGCCCTATCTGCGACCTCTGCTTTAGGGAGAAAGAGGGCCTTATGGGTCACTGGAGGGGCTCTAAAGGCAAGGAACTGTGCCCGGACATTTACGGTGGCTACCGTAAATGCCGGGTGATCTTGGGCCAGTGGCTTGGCTTCTCTCATGATGCCCTCACTGTGGCTGGGGAGGAATGGAAGCATGGAGGTGATGGGTCTCCCCCAGGATCTATACCCCCAGGAGAAGAGGCTTAAGGGAGAGGGCATGCAAAGGAGACAAAACAAAGGAGGCAGTGAGCATCTTGAAACATAAATAAATGGCATTTCTGCCTGAGATCTTTGTATTTGGTTTTTCTGAGGACTGACCTCCAGGGTAAGATGGCTGGAGTAGAAAGAGAGAAGTGAGTGCATAAGGAAGGAAATGTATAAAAGAAAAAGGGTTAGAGTGTGCATATGAAAACTCGTGTTAGTATTATTATTTATTTTTATTTTTTTGAGACAGAGTCTCACTCTGTTGCTTGGGCTGGAGTACAGTGGTGTGATCTTCGCTGACTGCAACTCCCGCCTCCCAGGTTCAAGTGATCTCCTGCCTCAGCCTCCCCCAAGTAGCTGGGATTATAGGCACCTGCCACTACACTCAGCTAATTTTTTGTATTTTTAGTAGAGATGAGGTTTCACTATGTTGGCCAGGATGGTCTCAAACTCCTGATGTCGTGATTTGTCCACCTTGGCCTTCCAAAGTGCTGGGATTACAGGCATGAGCCACTGTGCCTGGCCAAAACTTGTATTATTATTATTAATTAGCACCTAGCTTATTTTTGTCTGATAGACCATCCAGTAGTAGTTGTTGAATAAACAGTGGATACTCTGATAGGTATGAAGATGGGAGAAAAAGGATAAGAGGAGGGGAAGATTCTGAGAGACCTGTGGAAGATATATAAGTAAAACATTCTAAAGCAGGCATGTTGCCTAGATTTCAACTCTTGTTCCCCAAGTCCCTAGTACGCTACCAAGACAAGGTGGATCTCTGGCAATTATTCTGTAGGTTTCTCCCAATCTCCAGGTTTGGGTTGGGGCTGCCCATATCCTCATTCTGCAGCTCACTCAGCTCTCTTTAACGTTCTGAACTCTTCCTCTTCCTTCCCTTCACATGCATCTCAGTTCTGCGCAATCAGGGCTGGAGTCTCGGAGGAAACAACCACCATTTGCAAAGTTATCATACTGTAATTTTCAGTGAGGAGGTTTCTGGCCTCCAGTTTGTGACAAAGACCATCCTATCTGTGTTGCTTTCCAGCAAAGATGTCCTCTGATGGAGAGAGGAGCACCTGCCTGTCCTTAGCCAGAGAGGGCTTCCAGGTGGAGGACTGGAGAGAGAAATGGAAAGATTGGTAATAAAAATGGGAAAAAGAAGGAAGAGAAAAGGTAGATGACAGAAGGGAAATCAATTCTACTTGGAATTCAGAGTGTTCTGGAAGTGCAAATTGGAATGTCCCCATAGCAAAGATGCCAGTGAGTGTGCAACTTGATGGATGAGACATCCCCAAGGACCAATCCCTGGGCAACCAGGCTCTCCTCCACCCCTGCCAAGATGCGACATCATTCAGAAGGGATTTCCTAGAAGAAGGAGAAAATAACTTGAAAAATCGATGTCAGTACTTTGTATCATAAAACCATTGAACTAGGGAGAAGAAAAGCCCTTGGGGTTATTTTGTCTCCATGCCCGCCTCAATGGTTGGTCTTAGAGGTGAGGCACTGGGCAGTTGCTGTGGAATGGGCAATGAGAACAGCTAGGGTGGGATTCCTGCTTAGGAGCAGTGAGGGAGGAACAGATCAGGCAGTAGTGCCTCCAGCTTCTCTGTCAGCTGTACATGTGTCTAACAACTGGCCTCTTTCCCCTCTACCTCCCAGGAGGAGTTCTCCCTCCCTCCAGGCTCTCCAGCTCCTCCTTTCCTCTGGGTCTGTGATTCCTCAACAGTCCCCCTTTTCCTCTTGTTGCTTCTGTCCCTCTTTCCTGGCTTTTAATTTTCTGATTATAAGAGAGAGAAGAAAACTTACTTAGCTCTTCAATGAATTGCCCTGAAAACAAAGAGAAACAAATAACGTGATCAATGGAAAATGACTAGCACCTTCCCCACATCCTCCCTGTGGACATTTGGAGTGACCCACACCCCTTTCCACTGGGGGACCCCACAGATTTAGTAAGTGGTTCTCTTCACAGTTTTTCAGAAGAACCTGGGGTTAGGCATGGGGAGAGAGGAGTAAGGAAATCCCAGCTTCCCTAATCTTGAGCCCTGGTTCCATTCTCTGTTTCCCATTCAGAGCTGACTTGGTCCCCCACTATTTGGTGGTCTTGCCTGCTGCCCAGCCACTGCACCTGCTAGTCTTCTATGTAGCCAGTTGTAACAGATGATCAAGGCGACCAGGGGTCCAAGAACTGGCACAATTACAAACAGGGTTATCTTCCAGCAGGGCACCCTCAGAAAGTGGGGATCTGAATTAATCACCAAAACAAACAAGGTTAACATATGTTCCCCCTCATGCCCCAACCACCTTTCTTTTTTGGTTCCTTAACTTGGGGTCCTAGAACACCAAAGGTCTCTGGGGACAGAACTCAGAGAGTCCATGAAGTTGGATGAGAAAAGTACTGCTTCCTTATTTTCATTAGCTGGATTCAACATTTTCTTTCATTAAAAATGTAACAGCTGGCCAGGTGCAGTGGCTCACGCCTGTAATTCCAGCACTTTGGGAGGCCAAGATGGGTGGATCACAAGGTCAGGAATTCAAGACCAGCCTGGCCAAGATGGCAAAACCCCATCTCTACTAAAAATATGAAAAAATTAGCCGGTCATGGTGGTGGGCGCCTGTAACCCCAGCTACTCAGGAGGCTGAGGCAGATAATTGCTTGAACCTGGGAGGCAGAGGCTGCAGTGAGCTGAGATCATGCCATTGCAGTCCAGCCTGGGTGACAAGAGTGAGACTCCATCTTAAAAAAAAAAAAAAAGAGCTGGGTGTGGTGGCTCACGCTTATAATCCAAGCACTTTGGAGGCCAAGGCAGGCTGATCACCTGAGGTTGGGAGTTCAAGACCAGCCTGACCAACATGGTGAAACCTAGTCTTAAAAAAAAAAAAACAAAAAAGAGTAACAACTAATCACAGTATCAGCAGTACCTGTGACTTAATTACCAATGGAAGCCATAGATATTTTCATTTCCATCAGAGTTGTTGCAGAAATCTCGAAATACTGTTTATGTTTTTCCATATTTTGAAATTACAGGTTATTAGGCTGGGCCCCGTGGCCCACACCTGTAATCCCAGCACTTTGGGAGGTCAAGGTGAGTGGATCACCTGAGTCAGGGGTTCGAGACCAGCCTGGCCAACATGGTGAAACCCCATCTCTACTAAGATTACAAAAATTAGTTGGGCGTGGTAGCATGCGCCTGTAGTTCCAGCTACTTGGGAGGCTGGGGCAGGAGAATCGCTTAAACCTGGGAGGCAGAGGTTTGCTGTGGGCCAAGATCATGCCATTGCACTCCAGCCTGGGCAACAAGAGCAAAACTCTGCCTCAAGAAAAAAAAAAAGAAAAAAAGAAAAAAAATTGTTACTATGTTACAAATGTTTCATAATTATGTTAATAACTATATTTCAACACAATGATTGTTTTTTGCAATCCTGTGTGTTCTAGTTTATGTGTATATTTTAAACATTATTCTGGAAAGGGGTCCATTAGACTTCACCAGAGTGCCAGAGAGATTCATGGTACAAAAAAAGAGTTAAGTCTTTTCATAGTCAAGTCCTACAAAATGAAGATACTATTCCTCCTCTCCGGGTGTGTAAAGATGTGTGTGCGAGCCAGGCGCGGTGGCTCACGCCTGTAATCCCAGCACTTTGGGAGGCCAAGGTGGGTGGATCACGAGGTCAAGAGATAAGACCATCCTGGTCAACAAGGTGAAACCCATCTCTACTAAAAATACAAAAAATCAGCTGGGCATGGTGGCCCGTGCCTGTAATCCCAGCTACTCGGGAGGCTGAGGCAGGAAAATTGCCTGAACCCAGGAGGCGGAGGTTACAGTGAGCTGGGATCGCACCATTGCACTCCAGCCTGGGTAACGAGCGAAACTCCGTCTCAAAAAAAAAAAAAAAATGTTTGTGTGTGTGGTCACACACTGGTCTAATTTCATACATCATAGGAGAGAACTCTGTGCCAGGTGACAAGAGTCAAGTCACCTACAGGCTCGGGAGGAGGGACAGTGAAGGAAGTTTGCTCAGAGAAGGTACCATCTGCCTAATAACACCTTATAGTTTATGCAACATTTATTTAACAAATATTTGGGTGCTCTTCTGTGGTAGGCATTTTCCTTAGGCATTGGACAATCTGCAGTGAACAAAAAGGGCAGAAACCATGTCCTTGAGGGGTCAATTCCTAGTGGGGCTCGGTGGCTTCCCTATTCCTCCATGAAGCCTTCTCTGATTAGTCATGTTATGTACTCATGGAAACATCCTGTAATGTAAGTACAGGTGATGGCTGGGCATGGTGGCTCACACCTGTAATCCCAGCACTTTGGTAGGCCAAGGCGGGCAGGTCACCTGAGGTTGGGAGTTCAAGACCAGCCTGACCAACATGGAGAAACCCCATTTATACTAAAAATACAAAATCAGCCAAGTGTGGTGGCACATGCCTGTAATCCCAGCTACTTAGGAGGCTAAGGCAGGAGAATTGATTGAACCTGGGAGGTGGGGGTTGTAGTGAGCCAAGATCGTGCCATTGCACTCCAACCTGAGCAACAGAAGCAACTCCGTCTCAAAAAAAAAACAAAAAGTGGGAGGGGGGGCCAGGCGTGTTGGTGCACGTTTGTAATCCCAGCACTTTGGGAGGCCAAGACGGGCGGATTTTGTAAGGTCAGGAGTTTGAGACCAACCTGGCCAATATGTTGAAACCCTGTCTCTAGTAAAAATACAAAAATTAGCAGGGTGTGGAGGCGGGCGCCTGTAATCCCAGCTACTTGGGGGAAGTTGAGGCGAAGAATTGCCTGAACCCAGGAGGGGGAAGTTGCAGTGAGCCGAGATGGTGCCACTACAGCCTGGGTGACAGAGCAAAACTCCATCTCAAAAAAAAAAAAAAAATTACTACGAGAGAGATGGTTCCATCATATTGGCCAGGTTTTTTTTGAGATGGAGTTTCGCTCTTGTTACCCAGGCTGGAGTGCAATGGCGCGATCTCGGCTCACCGCAACCTCCGCCTCCTGGGTTCAGGCAATTCTCCTGCCTCAGCCTCCTGAGTAGCTGGGATTACAGGCACGCACCACCATGCCCAGCTAATTTTTTGTATTTTTAGTAGAGACGGGGTTTCACCATGTTGACCAGGATGGTCTCGATCTCTTGACCTTATGATCCACCCGCCTCGGCCTCCCAAAGTGCTGGGTTTACAGGCTTGAGCCACCGCGCCCGGCCTAGTTGTGTCTTATTTTCTGTTTATGTTTCACCTCCCCAACCAGACATCGGTTTATCTGTAAACGATCTATTTACCTCTGTTTTGTAATTACTGAAATGAGAAATAATGTGCATAAGGAGTCAGCAGAATAAGAAAACATTTTTGTAAAGCAGTTAGGATAACGCCTGGTGCATAAAAACAGTACGTGAGCCGGGCGCGGTGGCTCAAGCCTGTAAACCCAGCACTTTGGGAGGCCCAGGCGGGTGGATCACGAGGTCAAGAGATCGAGACCATCCTGGTCAACATGGTGAAACCCCGTCTCTACTAAAAATACAAAAAATTAGCTGGGCATGGTGGTGCGTGCCTGTAATCCCGGCTACTCAGGAGGCTGAGGCAGGAGAACTGCCTGAACCCAGGAGGCGGAGGTTGCGGTGAGCCGAGATCGCGCCATTGCACTCCAGCCTGGGAAAAAAGGGGAAACCCCGGCCCCCCAAAAAAAAAAAAAGAAAAGAAAAAAAAGAGAGAAAGGGACCCAACCAAGACCCAGGTGTATTTGTTCCCCCAGGTGACTGGAACTGGAATGAAATACCGAGTTGACCTGGGAGGGCCTGGATATGCCAAACTTACCAAAAGTCCGGTGGAGATTCTCTGAAAGAGAAACAAATGGAAATGGATTTAGTCGGGCATTCAAAAAGGATCCTTTATCCTGAGTCTTTGTTATTTAATTACTTAAAACTTGTTCTCGGCATGACACACCCACCATAGAGAAAGGGAAACTGAGGGAAGAACAGGGTCTCGAGAGGCAGAGACAGTGTGAGAACGTGACCATTTCCGTTATGCCAAAAAACAAAACACAAGAATTGGGGAAAAGGATGAATGGAACTCACCTATCTCTGCTCGAAGTTTTCCTAAAATAGAAAAAGGCAACATTTTAGTTCCTACCTGCTCTGGCTCTTGGTGGGGACCCTCCCAACCCCAGCGCCTGGGCCCCTCTTGCAGGCTATTTCTCTGCAGCGCGAAAGCAACCTTAAAGAGCGTGAGAAGGGCACTGGATTTGAAGCCAAGGGTTGCAGCTCTTTCTCCAGCTAGAGTCTAGATTCAATAGGGGAATAAAGAATGTGAGCAATTTCCCAAACCAACACAAGGATCTACTACCTCCCAGCTGCTCTTCACACCTTTTGTTGGATTCTCAGTTCACGGTGCTGCTCCAGCCCACTGGGTTGCTACTTTGTGGATCTAAAGCCACTTCCCATCTGAATGAGGAAGGAGGAGCTGAACACTTAGTGAGTAGCTAGCTACTTTGTGACTGGATTTGTAGCAGGCACTTGACATGACTTTAATCCTTTTTACAATTTAGGAGAGAGGATGTGTTCTCTATTTGGCAGACAAAGCAACTGAGGCTTGGAGAATCTAAGAATTTTGCCATAGTGTGGCAAAAGTCCGAGAGTTGAATTCCGGAATGGAGTTCAAACCCAGGCTGCCTAACTCTAACATTCAGATTGTTTCTGCTCAGCCACGTGGGTCGAAGGCCTTTTTCATGTGGAAGAAATAGACAAACAAGCATCTGGGATGAATTCAAGGAGAGAGAAAGGACGCCGTTGTTGATCTCACCAATACCCACCCCCCCCCCCCCAGAAACATTCCCCATACCCTCCTTGCTACTTTCTCCTCTCCTCTTAGTAACAAATGGGAGGTGGTGGGCGGGGAGGAGTGAAGACTCTTTCTGCTTTGGCACTGGGGGGACACTTGGTAGGGAGAGAAGGTTCAGACTGAAAGCTCTAGGCACAAAAGAGGAACTTCATCAACAGCTGAACCTGAATCCTCAGTGCTGAATGGAGAAGGAGGAAACAATTTTCAACGACTACT